TAAAAGAGTTCGACCATTATTAGAAGTAGTGAACACAACTTCTAACCCGGTCTGAGTAATAATGAATTTAATTGCCTCTGCACCCAAGGTATCATAAAGTGGCACAGATACAAAATTGTATTGATTACAAGCAAGTTCAGCGATAACCTAATTTTATAACAATAAATACAGATTATTTGTTAGAAAAAAAAAAAAAGTCGAAAAGTTTTATAAGAAAAATATATATAGAGAGATTATATAAAATAAAAAATTTACATATTCAGGAGTATTAATAGAAAAGAATCCAAGAAATTCCTTAGTTTTCAATCCAAGTTTGCATAGACCGGAACCAAAATTTGCAACACGTTGTTGAACCTCTGAGTATGTTTGCCAAACATAAGGTTTAGCGACTCCATTATCGATAGGTCTACGTCCCAAAAATTTGCCACCCCCTTTTTTATATGAACAATTACAATAACTAAAATGGTTAAGGAATTATTAAATGAAGAATTAATTCAATTTTTAAAATTAATACTTGCCTGATACCTTTACTCCGTGCAAAAAATTTTCATATAAAGTAGTTGCTTCTGGAGGAAAATCAAGCAATTTATCAGGAGAATAAGCGTTACGCCTCGGTTTACCTTCACCTTGAATTTCTGGTGCGTCCTTTACTTCAATTGACTGCATACTCATTAGAACTACTAGAAGTGCGTAAAGCTAGTAAACCAAATTTCTTTTTATAGAGGGGAAGCCAATTTTTGGAAAAATGTTTGTCCAACTAGAAAATTAAGAAAACGCAAATCACGTTATTTCCCGCGTTTGGGAATTAATTTATATCATTATTTTTATCAAATTATTCGCTAAATAGATGCCCATTTTAATGTTGCGTGACAATAACATAGGACGGTAATCCTATGTTAGTGTTAGTGTTAAAATTAAATTAAGTGCCCAAATATAGCATTGTACACTTCCATTTTTATAATAGTGTATGGTCATAGCGGTTATACTACTACGTATCCAGGTAGAAATTATTACCCAGAAGGTATAACGATTATCCGGTAACTTAACACAATGGGAAATATTGTGTGTATCTTGTGTGACAGAATAATCATGTATATTGAATTTTAAATACGTACTGTACGTACGTACGTACGTTGTAAAAGGGCGAAAAATGCACTGGTTCTAGATAATACAACTATACAACTAATACAACCAAACCCTAATAGTGGTAAGGCAACGATCGAGGAGTGGAAAGACTTGAAATTGGGTTCTTAGTAATAGTGTTTGATTAGAGCTCTGAATTACTTCACAAATCTCTATATGCAGAATCACGGGATTTGGTCACTTATCCCTTTGTTAATACGGTTTTATTTATCTGGGGGATTAATAGAGCAACACCTTTTAATGTTAAACTCCAATCGAGTTCGAATACTATAGGGGCAAATCACAAGTTAATACTCTGATTTCTTTAACTTGGATCTTTGAACATTCCAGAGTTGAGACCGAAGGCTGAAAGCTGTCTTTATTGAAGGTAAGCTTTGATCGCTTATATACTTTCTTTACATATGTAATATAATAACAACTATACTAACGATAATAACTATTCTAACGATTATTTTACTAGGATTTCCTGTAATTACAACGATAAACATACGTAATAATATCTATTTTAAGAGGATTTTCAGAATTCTGCGGTAATTCGGGGTGTAATTTACACTTTCACAACGTACGTACGTACTGTATTAGCAAAAACAAACCCCCATACATTTGATAAGATTGTTGATATCATAGAATATTCATTAGAATAATTTTATGCTACGTATGCATCTTATTATCGTTATGATTAAGATCAGAGTTGCATATGTACGACATTACCGCAAGGGCTTAAAGTATAAACATAAATATGTGTATCGATTATGGCTCTAATTAAGGGTTGCATGGGGCTAAAACTTGTAATTTCTCCGGCACGCAATCTAATTTATTATTAAAAAATTTTGCCCACATTTTATTTACTATGTTTTAATAGTTAGCTCCTTCTAAAACGAATGACGGCTCTGGAAGAAAAAAAAAGTTCGTTATAGAAAATCACTATACTTCCTTAAAGACCTATGGCACTCTCTATACCGAACTATTATGAAATTTTAAAGATTTGAGTTCGTTATATCTAGAGTTGTAATATAGAGGTTCGTTATATCCAGAGTCGACTGTATAACTGGCCACAATTTTGCTAAATTTTTAAGTTTTCTCAGCACGTGCAGCCTCTAGCTCTAATTTTAAATAATCTAGAAAGTTATAAATAAATTTGAGTTACAAGTTACGATTGCAAGTTGCTTTTGGCAATTGTTTGGATCTAAGGTACTATAATGAAAAAGAATTCTTTTCGGTCTATATATATCTTTGATCATCACCAATGTGCAACAACAATGGTCATAAAAATTGCACGAATTAGACATTTGGACATATAAAACTCTATAAATCCGATTCATTATACATATGGTACGTACTAGAAGCCTATATTAGACAATAAAAATAGTACGTATAACGTTAAAATGTATCAACTGTTTACAGAAGCAATATTTTTAAAATCTTTGGCAAATTTATAGAATTAATATTGCTTTAGAAAGTTACCGGTCAGTTTTTGAAAAACCTCTTGTATAAAAAGTTATAGTAATTTAAAAAATTGAAACATGTCTAGTATAGGCGTCTAGAACTATATAAGCATTGCAACCTCTGCTATATACAACAACAATGTCAATTTTTTATTCTATTTTATAGCAATTAATGATAAAGTTACTAAGAAATTTTCATACAGGTTACTATTGTATTTCTGTATCTGCACTAGGTAAGTTATCGTTATAATGCGGCGAGCTTATAAACTACCCAAAATTTGTTTACTAATATATTATACTGATTTTACTGATTTTTGATTGTGCTGATCAATATTCCCAGTTTATAAATATATTACAGGCATTCGAGAAATTAAGTTAAAATAATGATGGGACTAGAAGTGCTAAAAATTAAATTGTCATACGCAGTGATCTATTAAAAAATTTTGATCCTTAATAAATTATTAAATGTGACAATTTAAGTATCACCATTTTTTAACCCTCGTAGTCCCATCACTGAGTTAAAATTCGATCACTCAACCCAAATATTTTTTAGTTACGTTACCAAATTACATAACAATCAATCAATGCCGAACTCGGAATTTTTTTAAACCTTCCCATTATTTGACCATCTTGGCATACTTCTTTAGCATAGAAATTTATAATTTATTAGTCATGTTTTGTATTTTGATTGGTTTTTTGGTGGTCATTATTAGTCAATTGTGGAAATTGTGGAATTGATGATCGTGAATAATTTTAATACGTAATCCAAAATTACACCGTTGTGTCGTTAATACCATACCATAATTCTACATTTGTGGAATTGTAGAATTGGAATCATTAAGTGCATATTAGATGCAGAAGTTGCGTTTTGATGTTACTATAAAACTAAAATTTATAATAGGTTTTTTTGAACGCCTATTTCCACCATGATGTTTTTCACATGATTTTCAGCTACATATACATGACGAACATATTGCCACGATAAATTACTGTCAATGATAGATAATGGAAGTTTTCCTGATGCAAATATGCATTCCTTTTTTTTATTGCTATTAGCATATATCATTAGAAATACGCTGCAAAACATCTAAATACAACGGATAAGTAATGCTTTTTTTTTTTTTTTTTTTTTTGTTTACGAATTCACGCTTATCCGTCGAAAGATACAACAAATAATAAATAATTATAATAGCAAAAACTGAAATTAGTAAAATGCTATTTAATTGATTGGTTTCCGAAACTATAATTTCTTGTGCGGCGCAGATTTGTTGTGACTGGGTAATTTGCGCCATTCGTTTGATGTACGGAAACAGCAACAAAAAAAGGTACGTACGTACGTACCTAATATAAATTTAGTGTATGCAAAACATCAAAACGAAGCTTCTGCATATAATATGCTTTTAACTTACGATCATCAATCCCACAATTATTCACGATCGTCAATTCCACAATTTGGATCATTTGAGTGTCACGAAGGGAAATCTAGAATTCTTGATTTCGGAAATTTTACTTTAAGAAACGAGCTAATCAGATATAAATCAATTCGGCTTATTTGAGGAATTTAACCCCTATTGTTACGACAAGGGAGAAACTTTACTGTTGCACTGCCAATTTAACTGTTGGTCGTAAACATTAAAATAGGAAACCAATTGTTTATTACTATGCACAAGACAATAAAAGTACTAAAAATGTAATTGATACAAGTAAGTATCTTCCTCAAAAGTGTATCTGGTACACAATGAATCCTCTAAAATGTTAATTACTATTACTCTATTCCGATTGAGCAAAAGAAGAATCTCCCCTATTTACAAAGAATAACTTTATACGTAAAAAGGGTAACATCTAATTTCAAAAATTACTGAAAAAATTACAGACTGTCAATTAAAACATTTTCTTAGGCTAAGAATTGCCTATACAACAACTATTATTTTTTCTTATTTTATTTCTCTTTTGCTCCTGGCTTTAATTTTTTTTTTGACTTCTTTGATTGGTACTTTGATTTTCGCATTTTCGATTTTAAAGATAAGAAGTATCAATCCAGCTCTCTAATTCAAGGAGTTCGTCAATTTCTAGTTCAAGGAGTTCGCCAATTTCTTTTTCAAGTTGATCTATACTTTAATCAGAGAAAGAAATTCAAATAATTAAAGATTCGTAAATTACAATGTTATTACGAACAAGCAAAAAACAAAAATTAGTCATGTATATAACGTAGCAGAGAAACTATATAAATACCACTATTACTTTATTGGACCTTTCTTAAATTATATTTAGTTATTTGGACATAAGAATTTTAGCAGGTGTTCTTTGTTGATAAAAATACTTTGATTCAGTCACCCTATTAAATCTTACTTTTGTATCTTCAGCTCATTTCGTTCTTAGAAGTTGATCCTATTCTGCAGGAGTTACGAATGAATTCTACTAAAATTTTGGTTACTATAATTACGAATTAATTAACCAAATTATTATGTTTACAAGAGTTACGAATTAATTTTGCCAAAATTTTTTTGGAGTTACGAATTAAATATTAATTCTACCAACAAAATGCAGAGATTAATGAGACCATTATAAATTTATTAATTCTCGATTTTTATTGTTTTAAAATATTCATTACAATGAAACAATTGTTTTTAAGAAAACAAATTTGTAAAATATCATGACAAAAGAAACAAAAACTATAATTTTAACAATGCGCAATAAAACATTTTTTATATCATGTTTCCATTTACGTAACTCCCTATTTTTGATTATTAAAGCTTCTTCCCTTAATTTCAATTGATTATTTTCATCTCTAAATCGTAATATTGTAGTTTCATATATAAAATTTTTCTGCAAGATTTCTTCAGAAAGAATTTTTCGCTCTTTAATTTGTTCTCGCGAATTCATTAATTCCTTTTTGAGAGAATGCACAGATTTGCTTTTTGACGTTCAGACCATCTAGTAATAATAAAAAAATGTTAGAAAAGATGTTTTCTATGTACGATACTAGAAAATAAGGGAATAATGAAATTTTTATAAACTTAACGAAAGTTTTAAGGGGAAAATATCTGCCGGGGCGTGTCTAAATGAATAGACATATTA